CTACTTACAACAAAATCCTTCAAGCTTATGTAGGATGAATAAAGTTTTCATCACGCTTATTCCCAAAATCAAAGACAGTGTTCTTGTTAAAGATTTCAGACCAATCAGCTTAATCAATTGTATCTTCAAAATCTTCTCAAAGATTATTGCTAACAGATTGGCCCCTTTTCTTCCTACTTTGGTATCATCTACCCAAACAGCTTTTCAGTCAGGCAAATCAACACTTGATTCTATTGTGATGGCTAATGAGATGATTCATTTCTGTTCAAAAAGGAAGAAGGAAGTTGCTATGCTAAAACTTGATTTCACAAAGGCTTTTGACTCCATCAACTGGAATTTTCTTCTTAGTTTACTCAAAGCTAGAGGTTTTGGTAGTAAATGGTGCACATGGATATATCATATCATTTCATCTTCTCAGTGTGCTGTTAAAGTTAATGGCCATCCCTCAAAGTTCTTTTCTTGTAAGAGAGGTTTAAAGCAAGGAGATCCCTTATCTCCAATGCTTTTCAATATAGCAGCTGATGTATTAAACAAGATGATTCATAACAATGTTGGTGAGGGTTTACTGAATAATCTTGGTATTAAATTACCTCTCAACCAATTGAGAATTCTTCAGTTTGCAGATGATACTATTCTCTTCGTCAAAAGCTCCTTTATAGACATTAAAGTGTTGAAAACTATACTTTATTTTTTTGAGGAGGTTTCAGGTCTGGCCATCAACTATTCTAAGTCTTCCATTGTCTATTTTGGCAAAAATCCTATGAAAAATTTTATTCTTTCTAATTCCCTTGGATGCAAAGTGGCCTCTCTTCCTATTAAATATCTGGGTATGCCTCTTAAATATGGTAAGCTAACCAAATCTGATTGGCAACCTATCTTTGATAATCTCCATAAAAAACTTGCATCTTGGAAGAGGAATTTCTTGTCATATGGAGGGAAATTAGTTCTTCTAAATACTGTGCTTACTTCAATCCCTTTATACTTCATGTCCTTCTACAGATTACCAATTTGGGTCATCAAAAAAATAGACAGTATTAGGAAGGGTTTTCTTTGGACTGGAACTGAAAAAGCAAATGGCTTCAAATGTCTAGTTAGCTGGAGAAAAGTCTGTCTGAGCAAACTAGAAGGAGGATTATGAGTCAAGGATATCAGGCTGTTTAATATTGCCTTGCTTTCTAAGTGGCTTTGGAAATGTCTTGATCAAAGAGTCAAGGATATCAGGCTGTTTAATATTGCCTTGCTTTCTAAGTGGCTTTGGAAATGTCTTGATCAAAATTCAAATACAGGAAGTTTTCTTCGTCAACTATATTGTATCAGAGGCAATCCACTTCAAATAACTCTTGCAGGAGTTTCAAAATCAACCTTCTGGAATGATATTTTATCTTTTAAGAATGAGTTCCTACATAATATCTCTTGGTCTCTGGGACTAGGTGATTCAATCAGATTTTGGGAGGATAAGTGGACAGGTTTCCACTCCATTGCCAGTCTTTATCCTTCCTTATATAAACTAGCTTTATCCCCAAATGTTATTATTTGCAGTCAAGGCTTTTTGAGAAATTCCAATTGGCAATGGAGACCTTTGTTGAGAAGATGCATCTCTTTTTCTTCTCAAATAGAAAAAGACAATCTCATGGAGCTCTTAAGGGGGTTTCAAATTTCTTTTACACCAGATAATCCTAGATGGTTGCTTACAAGTGCTGGCTCTTTCACAGTTAAATCCTTCTATCAGTTCCTTAACCAGAGAGGTATTTTATCACCCCATTTTAAAATTACTTGGAAATCTAAAACTCCATCTAGAATCAGTTTCTTCATCTGGCTTTTATGCAATAACAAACTCCATACAAAAGATAATCTCTTGTCAAAAGGATGGATAGGAGATTCGATGTGTATTTTCTGCAGCTCACAATCAGAAACCAGAGATCACTTATTTTTCTCATGCTCAATAGCATCCCATGTTTGGTCCTATTTTAAAAATTATTATCTACCTTTCACATGGCCATCTTCATTTTCTGATTTATTGCATATTGTCAATAAACTTCGAGGAGGTGCTGGTTATGTTTGGCAAAGCTTCATCTCTTATATTTGCTGGAACATTTGGATCAGTAGGAACAAAACATTATTCGACAAAATGAGTTTCTCACACAAAAAGATTATCAATAATGCTATATATGGATTATATGAATGGTCAGGTAATGGAAAAGGTGCTGCGGCAAGGGAATTATCTTCCAGGCTAGATAAATTTCCACTTTCCCGAGCAAGTGTTTGAGGACTGAAGACAGAAGATATTCCCAGGATCATCAGTTTTTGGTTTATATATTATGTAATTATCTCTTATGATATCTTTATGTTTTCATGTTGTTTCATAGAAATTTTAATTTCTACTACGCACATGTATGGCTGGCTTTGGTTCTACCAATTATCTGTGTCAACGGTGAATGACGGCAAGGCCCTCTCTTCATCTTCACGGATCTTTGGTAGAAGAAAGTTATACATCTCTACTAGTAGAAATTCTATTTTCTATATTACAACTTCTTAGACACTTCTTGTGTCCAAGCTTTTGTAATTAACAATATTTTGTCTTTTTTGGTATTTTAATGAACGGGGTATCAAGCCCCTGTTTTTTGATTTGTAATTAACAATATTTTGTCTTTTTTGGTATTTTAATGAACGGGGTATCAAGCCCCTGTTTTTTGATAAAAAAAAAATGTTGCTTTTTGAAACAATGAAGATGTTTAGTAACACCAGGATTCGGATCCTCTCCACTACAAAAAAAATAGTGGAGGGACCACTACATAATCACAGCCATTGATTATCTAGTTGATGGTTATGATTTTTTCTTTTAGTGCAAATTAGGAATGAGTGCAATACACGGGGGTATGATAAATGTTAGATTTAGATTGTATCATAACCGCCTACTAAATAATCAACGCTTGAGATTAAAAGTAGTGGTCTCTCCACTACTTTTTTGTAGTGGAGAGGATCCAAATCCAGTAACACCATGCTTAAAAATCATGACCAGTGAAATGGCTAAAATAAACACAATTTTAGCTTCAAGTATATAAAGCGTTTATATAGTATATAAATTATAAAAAATAAAAGCATCATCCCGTTGTTTTTAAAAGCATCATCCCTCCCGTTGTTTTTAAAAGCACCTCTTTAAAAGGGGAAGCAATTTCAATTAGTATACAATTTTTTTTACCAAACATCATTATTGACTGCATCTTAAAAAGTAATGATCAGAAACTCCCTAAAAAAGCAATATCAAACTGAAAAAGACCTCGTCATAAAAGAAATTAGGAAAATAAAACCATGTTATTTTATAATGACTAATGAAAATGTTAGCGCTGCACTGGAGTTTTGTTCGTCGAAGTCTTGAAAAACATCTGCATGCTGCTGCATGCATAATTCTGAGTTAATAATTAAAATATTATATTTCATTCAAAATATAAGTTTTCTCAATTTTCTTCTTTTTAACTTTCCAAATCTGTAAACTTGAAGCACGTACATTTATCAGGATACCTATGCAAATGTTTAAAATTCCATACGTGGAGTCATAGATATGGTGGTTCTTGTTGAACTTCTGAGGTGAGGGAAATTGTTGAAAAGCTAAAAACAAACAACTTATAATAGGTTAAAATATCATATTGACCTAAAACGTATTATTTATTTATCTTTTTGCCTAAAAAGTAACGCCAACGCTTTAACATAAAATATGAGAAATCAGTGATCCGTAGGCCCGTAGTCCTTTCCGATCGCTAGAGTCAATTTTTGAGCAAAATATGAAAGGAGAATTGCATATAGACCCCTCAATCCCTTTTTTTTTCATAACAAGACTACGAGTAGGAAAAAGAAAAACACTATAGATGAGCTGTATTTTTTCTAACTCGCCACAATGCCCGATGGAGTTTTTAGACAAAATTGAAAAACTAGTAACATTTTGTTCAAATTTTAAAGGAATTTTGCATCTTATAATTGATCAGATTAATATTTTAGACGAAATTTTTTTTATCTTTCTGTCCCAAAATAATTAATTCAATGAACAGAAAATATGTGAAATTGTTTAAAGAACTCAGTGCATGGCTTACATCACTATAAATTGTAAACTAATAAAAACGGTTTTTTATCTATACACCCCTAAAATTATCATATTTGTATATTTAGCACCTAAATCTTATTATTTGCTGGTTTACTGCCACATTCAAATGTTAAAATGCCCATAGTATATCTCTTTTTTTTTTTAAGTTAAAATGAGCAGTTGGCTAATGCCCCCCCTCCAAATCCACCTGATGATTGGAGGAATCATCTTTCTCCTTGAATGCTTTGATGACTTGTGCATATTGATTTCCTGTTTCTAAACTGATTGGTGACCTTTCCTTGAGCACTAGGAAGACACAAGTCTCCTTTGATCTCTCCAATTATAGCTTCCATTGCCCAAAATGTCAATTTCTTATTTATTTTTTCTTCACCAAATTGATGAGCATAGTCCTCTACAATATGTCAAAATCTAGCTCCTTTTCCTCGAGCTTTCACCTTGATTAAGAGGGCAAGAGACTGAAGGGAGCAATGACAAACTTCCACATGATCCTCCTTCATAAATGGATGGAGCTTTCACTATTTTTCATGCCATATTGTGCCTTTTGTTGAAGTAGTTTGAGTTTACACGATGTGGACGGCTTTAATTAGTCTTCGGTGAAAAGTGCAAGTGAATACATATTAAGAGAGAAGGTAACTACTAGATTTGAAATAAATCACAACCATACATTAAACAATGACGATTATAGTCAAGAAAGTGAGTTCTCTACTGCATTTTCACACCTATGAGGATCCAAATCCAGATACACAGCAACAATATATGTACTAAAATTGAGCACTTCATTTGTGGTAGTAATAAATTTTGAGCTTGTACGTACCTTACAATCCTTTTCCCCATCTCATAACGTAAACCCACTAAACTTTCATATTAAGTTAAAGAACAAAGATAAATATACAAATATACAATATGAGGAACAGAAAACGTAAGAAATTTTGTTGAGAATACAACACTAAATAATAGCACATTGTTAGAATTCCAGAAGGTTACCAGAGTAACCGAAGTTAAGTAGCATCCCCTAAAAACATAAGAACAAAGGATAATTTACATGATACAAAAAGCATTAACATGTGTTGACTATGAGAAGTTTGTCAAGAGCAAACATTACGCTTACACAACACAGCGATAAGTGACGTGGTTTTTCGTAAGCTCACCTCCATAGGTTATCTTCAAAATCGTTCCTTTCTCATATCCATAGTACTTGGCAACTGCATCGCTCTCCAGCATTCGTGGAAGCTGAAAAAAAAGCCAAAAGTCAACAGTAAAAAGAAAGAGTGAGGAAAGACATTGAGATCTTTAGGTGATCAAATATGATAAATTATCAGAGAAATATTAGCATATTGACTATAAAATGGTATATGATAAATTACCAAAAAAAAAAGAGGCTAAGCCCCAACAGCAAAAACAAGTAGTATCCAGAAAGTTTAAAGGAATTTTGAAGCAATTTGTGGATTACAATCATCCATGAAACATCAGCCAATGCTTTTTATGAAAAATGATATCAAACTAAAGGAATTTTGAAGCAATTTGTGGATTACAATCATCCATGAAACGCCAATGCTTTTTATGAAAAAATGATATCAAATTTGTATGAACAAAACATCATTATCAATTATGTAATTATTGAACAAAACATCATAATCAGTTAAATTTTAATTATTTACCAATTGGCTAAGACGAACATATATAAGCATAGATTTGCAAGTTTACCTACTAAATGTCACAATGTCCCCTATATACCTAAGTACACTTCCAGCAGTTAAGACAACAGATTATGAATGCAAGCAATATTGGTAATGACACCTCATCTCAGCTACTAGTTTAATAGGTGAAACCGTGAAAACAAATTTTTATATAGAACGATGTAATCATCTTCACCAAATTAATTTCTATTCAGGTTTAGTTCCAATGAATCCATGCATACATTACCTTGTCCAAGTAGACAGTATCAGCATAACAATATATCACAATGGACAATACCAAAAGATTTATTCACTACATTGTCTGCGATCCATGTTCTAAAAGATAAGCTACGACAAACAATTTTGACTACATCTCTGTGTATCTGTTAGGATTAATCAAATTCTGGTACGCAGAGGTATTGTGTAATTACACAAGTGACCCTGAAATCTATGTATCCACACGGGAAACCCTATGATTGTTGAATGTAATTACACCTGTTATCTCCAGGTTGCCTGTGTAATTTTCTCTAACTATAAAAATGTCAGTTCTTAACGAGAAGTCAAGCAAAGTGTAAATAGTGACTCCCCATCCTATTATGACAAAAAGAGAATTCGGTAAGGTCTGATCTACTAAAATTCCGCTTAAAGCTAAAAATCTGGTAAGAGTGGAAACTTTTGACAGACCTAGTAGAACTGAAACATAAAAAAAAACTTTCTAGTTCAATTGGAACTTCCTATTCCCTGTTACAGTTCACTGCCAAAAAGAATAACATGTCCAGGACTCACTGCTTGTTCTTTTTGTTGGAATTTCCCCCCCAAACTAAAAGGGGGAGAGACTTTAAACACATAAGATATTGGGAAGGAACCAGATTTCTTTATTAACCAAGAAAATCTACACCTTCAACCCTAGCGTCCTGTTTCAAGGCTTAACTGTTAGATCTAACTCTAATCCTTCGCTAGATTTGTTGTGTCTGCAAGCAGACTTGCTTTTGCAATTTTTGACCAATCAGATATTGCTGCGCAAAATCAGAATCTTTCATCGCCTCTGTGCACTCAAAAACCTTATAGACTCAACTCTTAGATCATCAAAATCCAATTAAGATTCTCCAATATGCTGAGAAACAAATCTTGTCCATATGATGAGTTTAAGAAATAATTTAAGTCTTAAATCCTCCTCAAACAAATCACACGAGTCAAAAACCTAAATGGTTCACATATCCCTCTGATCTCTTTGGTTTCACGCACTCTAAGATTCTCCAATATGCTGAGAAACAAATCTTGTCCGTATGATGAGTTTAAGAAATAATTGAAGTCTTAAATCCTCCTCAAACAAATCACACGAGTCAAAAGCCTAAACGGTTCACATATCCCTCTGATCTCTTTGGTTTCACGCACTCTAAGATTCTCCAATATGCTGAGAAAAAAATCTTGTCCGTATGAGTTTAAGAAATAATTTAAGTCTTAAATCCTCCTCAAACAAATCACACGAGTCAAAAACCTAAACGGTTCACGTATCCCTCTGATCTCTTTGGTTTCACGCACTCACCAAAAGAACCATGATCACCTCCGCGAGAAGCCCTCATGCTTGCAGCTTTCTACGGCCTGGCTAGTGCAACGCCGCTAATCCTTACCAAGCGCAGCTATAGTGGCCAACCTCCGATGGTGATAGCCTCTTTCCTTTTCTCTTTTTTCCGGTGTGCTTCATGTGAGCAAGAAGCTCTCGCACTCACCGCCATTGGCAGCCAACTTACCACCAACGTTCTTTACCCACTCTCATGGCTACCACCACCAAAGCTTTTCTGCCCGTGTGACTTATCCTTTGGACTTTGTAGCTGCTGCGACTCACACCGATGATTGTTCGCTTGACTGTCCTTGCCACCGCATTCTTCACATTGTAACCTTCACATCTCCACATATTGTTCAGCATTCATTTTTTCCATAGGAACCACCACACGCACTACATGAATTGTCACCACAGTTTTGCCTTGCATGAGATTCTTCAGTCGCATCAAAGTCGAACTTGAAGCTCTCCAAGCATGTGGATCTTTCTCGTTATCAACCCACGCACCATCGAGGACCCCTAAAAACTTGAACATCATTCTGATACCACTTGTTGGGATTTTTTTTCTCCTGAACTAAAGATGACATAGAAGATCAAACATAACTATTGCAGGAAGTACTAGATTTCTTTGTTAACCAAGAAAACCTATGCCTGCAAGTTTTCAACTCTAGCCTCCTGTTTCAAGGCCTTATCCTCAAATCTAACTCGTTTAACACTCAACCTTGGTTTACAATAATAGAAGATCTAAGACAAAGAAATCAAGCAATTCAATCCTATAACCCCTAAATTTCTTGGTTGGAATAGGATACAAACCACCTAATCATGATAAAACAAGTGTTCTAAATGTCGGATGTCAAAGACGTGTTGGATGGAAAATTTCCATATTGGATGGCAAATATCCGGGATATATCGAAGATATTTAAAAAATATTAGGGTATTATATCAGATAATGTGCATACAGATTATGACAGATATTCTTACTTGATGCACCAAAGGATGGAGTTTTGGAGAAAAGTGGTTTCTTTTGTAAAAGAATTTGGTCTCAATTGCACCCTAATTCTAATTTCCAGTTATATACATAAGCGGCTATTTGTTTGGATTAAACCTCAATTGAACCAAAAATCCAAATTAACCTTTTAAAACAAATAAAAACTCAAATCGATATTGGAACATTTCAGATGTTTTTCTGAGACTAAATGTCACTGATATATCACTTGATATATCAGGAGAATTACGTTATAATTGCTAGAAGTGGTAAATGATATTAAGACCATATCGTTTTGCAATAATCCTTATAACATGATACATCGGCTGAAATGTCAACCATGCCAAGGATATTTAAAACAAGGATTAATCACATTCCAATACCATGTGGTGTGATGGAACTACATAGCTGATTGTGGGATCTTTGTATCTACACGAATAACCCTGAGGTTGCTAACTTGTAGTCACCGTTGCCCAAAATCTAACGGTCACTTAAAACCATTTGTTTTTTTCCTGACATCTCAACTAACACAATATTGGAATTCCTAAAATACCCTTTTTTATTCATATATCCTCCGGCTCCGATATGATGTATTACAACCGTGACCCTGGAGTCTATGTATCTACGCAGATAAACCTGATGGAAAATTTACACTATTTTTCTTTCTTTTTTTCCTTTTCTTTTTTTGATGTTGACATAAAGATTTCCAGCCCGTGTTTTCATATATCCATTTCACTTGTGAGGAAAGCAATGTTATACCCTCAAGAATGTTTTCCAGTCCATAATTTCATGTACATATTGCAACTGTGGGAGGAAAGCAATGCTGAACATAGTAAATTAAAGTGCAAATCTTGGCATATATGCTATAAGTGCAATGCTAGCATATTATTCTAAAATTTATGTGAATAATTTAACAGTTTAGCGCTTTCCATTCGATAGGAAGCTGTAAGCTTGCAATGACAATTGAGTCATGGCATCATCCAATATAAAGCTAGGCAAAAGTCCCTCAAATCCTTTAAACCTTTAGTAATTCCATATTCGTCCCTCGATATTTGAAATTGCTCATAAGCCTCTCAAATCCTAAAGGGTCTTGCAATTTCGCTCCTCAATGACCAAAAGTACCCTAACTAATATTTATTTAAGGGTTATTTGCAATGTGGCACTCTAAAGTTCCCTTTTAACTTTTTGATAACCCAAAGTTCTTTGGACACTTTGATACCCCACAATTTTTTTCCAACACTTTGATACCCCAAATTTTACACATTAGCTTTCATATCCCAATGTTTTTACGCTTTTCAAATTTGTTACCTCAAAGTTTACACTTTTTTAACTTTGATACTGAAACTTTAGACCAGTAGCCAAAAACAAAAATTTAGGGTATGCAAGTGAGAAGGTGTAAACTTTTTTGTACCAAAAAGTCAGAAAAAAAAACTTCAAAAATTTAGGGTATCAAAGTGTCAAAAATATTTTAGGATATTAAAATTAGAAAAAGTTGTAAACTTTAGGGTACCAAAGTGCAAATAATCCTTTTTCCAAACAAGACGGGTTTTGGGAGGGGAAATATAAATGAGGGGCATTTTGGTCATTGTGAGACCAAACTGTGAGACCCCTTAGGATATGAGGGACTAATGAGCAATTTCAAAATTTTGAGGGACTAATATGGAATTATTGAAGATTTGAGCCTTTTGAGGGACTAATATCTAAAAGCAATTTGTTTCTTTTGTTCAGCAATTGGAGTGGTCCTCACATACAACATTAGCAACCTCTTGTGTTAAATCTTGCCAAAATGATGACCAAATATATCGTTGAGAAAGGGCATTTCTGTCTTTTCACATGTAATGTTAAGCTTTGTTAACAATTTCATGCCAGTCATTAAACTCAGGGTTATTCGTGGAGATTCGTAAACTCTAGGATCACTCGTGTAGTTACACCATACCACAGGGTACTGGAATGTAAGTAATCCTTAAACCAATGGATAGAACTTAACTTTATCAGACTACATGAAGTTACCAAGAATCAAGCTCCAATATCCAAACAACTTTTCCCCTAGTAAAATGACACAGCTCTTGCAGTTTCCTGATTTATGATGGAATGCTTCAATTCTCACTTATTTACCGTAAGTAGACCAACTGCCAAGAAACAGATGAGGCAATGCAGATTCAGATTCTCTGGGTTAACGTCAGGACTTCAATTTTTTGCCAGTGCATAGAAGATTCAATATGATATATAATATATGAGAACATCAAAGGCATGACATAAAAATAAAGCTCATTCTACTACAGTGATAATAAGGTGTATTCATATCCATTGCCCTGGGAATTTGTTGAACTCCATACAATACGCATGATTTAGCAGCTTGAAAGTATTCAGATTAGATGGAAATACAACAAGTAATTATGACAGCGTAGAGCCTGAAGAACTCATCCTCATGTGGCCTGTTATGCCATCAACCACTAAATGACTAAATGGATCATATGAAATCTGTTATGACATAGCAAATGGACAAAACAGTAGGTCAACCTTTTCATGAACCAACTAGCAATTGTAAAAATACCTGAGTTTCCTCTATACTGTACTTCTTCAAAAGCTTTTGCTTTTCTTCTTCTGACAATGGTTCATGATTTGGCATCAAGGCATGCTTTGTTATGTTTATTAATAGCTCAGAAACCTGAAAACACGTACAACGGCTGAATTAGTCACAAAAAATATAACATGCTAAAGTTCCAAAATGTACCAAGATGTTAAAGAAGTCTTACATATAAAATGCAAATGACCATCATTCTGTTTAAAGTATTAGAGAATAGATACAAATAAAGAGAAACACCAAATAGAATTTTGCTCTAGGCTTTGTCTGAAGGAACTGAAGGAACTTCAGCACGATATGATAGAGTGGATCAGACTTTCAGTCGTTTATGGGGATGTATCACTGAAAATAAACTTCCATCACGATCACCATCTAAGCCTTTTCATATAAATTTTCCGTCGAAATAGGTTCAGCAATGAAGCACAAATCCAACATTGAGAAACTCCATACAGATTGACCTTGTTCTTTGGGCACAGTGTTAAACTAATGTGAACCCTTTATGAAGGGGTGCTACTCTCCTGGTTAAGGTAAAACTAAAAAAGCGCAGTTCATGATATAGAAACTCCATCAAGGTAAATTAATTGATAATATGATAAACAATATTACTCATGATTGAAGTCCAAACGTAATTAGCTTGAGCACACAAAGGTAAGGAACCAACTAATCACAGGAGGTGAGTCTACATACTTCCAAGTAATCTCCAGTAGGAAGTGCATTGTGATACCATTATATCTATAATGGCCATCAATATCCTATAGGTATGCCTACTAGAACATGATTAAAAACAATTGAAATTACATGATAGTGGTCACTTAATGCAAAAGAGAGCCCTCAATAAAACTGAATGGAAGAACAGGATAAATGCAGCCTACTCCAAAAAAAATTGGCATAAAGGCCTTCTCTATATGGTTATAGCTAAAAGAATAGAACACTATAGTTCCATATGATATCCATATGATATCCATATAGCTAAAAGAATAGAACACTATATGGTTATATCCATAACTTGTATTGTTTGATTTTCCTCACATATGCAAGCTTGCACACATATGCAATCTTATGCCCCAAAAGTTCCATATGATATAATCTTATACCAGAGGTAAACAATATTTTTGTTCTTATAGCTGAATATTTTATTTGGATGGGTACACAGATATGATGGTGCCCATAGAAGCAATCAACATGGGATAAACCAACCAAACCCAACTTACTCAGTAGATAGACATGGTAATCATTAGAATCACACTACTTGTCCTAAAAAGCTTATAAGCTTAGTACCAAGCATAAACTTGATTGGTAGTGAGGTGGATGTGCGCTCGCACGTGCGTGTGTGAAATTATAACCCTCAACATTTAACACAAGTTTGGAGTTTTGGTGAGTGGCTAGGTTCTTTAAGATGATATCAAAACAATCCAGGTTTGAATTTTGCTGGCCAGAAATTTCTAAAGCAGATTAAAAAAAAATTCCTTCATGAGTTCAGATGTCCGACCCTGAAAAGACCCTCAACCTGCAGAGGCATGTTAGACTATAAATTATAACCGTCAACCCTCACCACAATTTCAGAGTTTAGGTTAGGATTGAGGGTTACAATGTTATACTCTAATATGCCCCTAATATGCCCCTGCAGGGCTGCAGGTTGAGGCCATCTATTGAGAATTTATTTAAAGATCTAAATAGTGAGAAGAAAGTTTGTTGTAAATGAACTCTTTCCAAAAACACATCTCAACAAAACCTATTTACTTTCTTATCTCTGATCAAGCTTCCTATGGCTCTTCTGCTTCTCCAGCTCACCTTCAGTTGCTTTCTTTACAATACAACAGGTGCAAAGACGATGGATGTTTTAGCATACAAATTAGCTACGTCTAGGCAGCACCTGGTAACAAGGATGACAAAGCACCACTCAAGAAAAATGTGGGTCACCAGCAAACCTCACAGGTGATGAGGGAGAAGAATCACCCATAAGAAACAGCACTTATCACCAGCTGGCCTCTAATATAGATCCTATGAATATCATAATTATACAGATACAAGAAGTTTGATCTGTTAGGTAATAAAATTCAAGTGCTAAAAATATGTGTAAACTCTCAGAAGTTCTCTCACAGAACAGAGAACTTCTGAGAGAGAACTAAAGACTTTCAATTTCCTGCAAAATGTAAGAGTCACTGAAGGATAATTTACGATCTTGAAAAATGTATTGCAATGCAATTATTCAATGTAAGTGGAAACTGTAAACTAACAAGTGTTTCTATAATCTGCAATATAAAGAGTCACAAGGAAATTTATGACCTTGAAAAACAAATCCCCATCAACTACTCAATCTAACAACACAGATCTCATTCAACCTTACTCAAAAAAAGTCTGGAATCGCAAGAACAACAGAATTGTCAAGAGAACTCACGTGAAAACTTTCAACTTTGAATGGGAAAAGCAGCTTCATTTTTTCTCGAGTTTGGGATGTCATATTGCTCTGCAAGACGAGAATCATCCGGCTCCAATTTTCTTTGCTATACTGTGTGGAGAGATCCCTCGCAGTCGTCAGTTTGACTGGAGCCGCCCCACAAAAGACCACAAGAATCTGAATAGAAACATTATTTATATCAGAGGTAATGTGTTAAGATTGTCAAATATTGAGTTCTACACCATTTTATGTTCTTTCCATTAGAATATACGCGCACACCACACTACTTAAATTTGCAACAAAAGAACTTCAAAATATATTTTAGCTTCACAATATAATACATTAACACTTGTCTCTTGCTAAAATAAAATATTTTTTCTAATACGTTGTAGTTTATAACTTCAATTACCGCTTGCGCTGAGAATGTATGTAGCATGACAGTTCTCAAACTATAAAAATGTAAATTGAAGGAGTGACAACCTCTAAAGAATAATTCAAATAAATTTGTGTCATCAATTCATCTTCATTTCCATTTCAGACACTCATTTCTTAAGCACTCTTTTTAATTTTGAAGCATGTTAGTCCACAACTTAACATTTATCTATAAATATTCCCTTCATTTTTTTATGTATTAATAGATTATGCCCTACATGGTGCTATTTGTTGCGTGCCTTTGGGTGGTGCGGGGGCGTGCGCGGCGGGGCGGAATTACGCTCTCCAAAACGTTAAATAAGTGTTGCTAACTCTTACTTAACATCCTAAAGTCAGTGCAATCATGAACGCGGAGATACCACAAAATCACCTAATACCACCCCTCAAAGCCACCAAATATAAACATAATTCTTACTACATAACCCTTGCAAAAAAGAAAAAATTATTCTCTACTTTCTCTATATATCAACCCATCCTTGTTTAAAATATCGGCCTACAGGCTGACAAGTCGAACAACATATTTTGTTAGTCTTGCAGGCTTGCAGCAAAATTCTATGATTCCAATGATATATTAGGAGTTTCACTGCACATTGAACAACATATTTGGTCTATAAATTTGGTTGAAATATTACAATATCATTTTGGACATTTATTTGTTAAAGATCAGTCTGAATTTGTGGCACAAATGAGGCCCAAACCATTACCTGCTCATATAAACACCCAAACAATTAGGGCTCAGTTAAGCGTGCATTCTTTCACAAAAGTTCTGTAACTTCTAGTTTCCGACCATTCCCTTGAATGTGTACTGTGTGCTGTATTACAACCCAACTTTGCTTTTATCGTTGGTTGCTTGTCGACAATAAGTTTCTTTCTCTCTAAACTTCTAACAACTTAAATTTTCACTCCCCATTTTCATTAACGCTATGTTAAACTTACACAAAATCTGTTAAGACATAACTTGGCGTTACCTACGTAGGTGTAGTTCTAACATTATACACTATATATTAGTAAGTAGTAATTTCTTCAATAGTTATGGGATTTAAACATAATAAAGATAGCATATTTTCTTCACAACTCCATTCTCTGATGCATTAAGTATGAACATCTATGATATGTTATCTAACATAATTCCTCAGTATTTATTACTAACCCCAATATACTATACTTAGAAATTAGTCTTAATAGCTCTATCTTTATCCAAACAGCCAATAAAGCTTCATTACTAGTTCTTGATACCATTCATCTACCAAAAATTAATAACTCTCACTCCCTATCTCTTGTTGCCAAATGCAACCTAGATTTACTTTTGACTTAGTTATCCAGCAATGCTATTATTGTCATTCTCCTTAAACTAACCGTCATGATAAATGAATGATTCTTGGTAGTGAAATACTTACTGCTGACACATTGTTAATAGTATCATGATCAATGTTATGTCATCATTTTCAAGTTTTTCCAATTAATGGGTTTACCTATAAATCAAAACCCTAAATCCCTAACATACAATTAAAACTCTCCTAGCTCCTCTCCAATATCTAGTCAATTTTTCAAGGACTACAATCTTCTTAGCCACGAAAAACGAAAAATAAGAAATAAAATAAAATAAAATGGCACTACCCGCAATTTCATGCAACATTTTCAACATAAACAAAGAAACCCAAGAATATAATGCATCATTGCCTATTGCAAAGAAGTTTTGCCATTAAAAACCCTAAGCCCTCTTTCAACCATATCCACATCAAAATGTGGAGTCAATTGTGGTTTAGGGTTTTAACGGTATCACCAAACTCAACATGTAAATGCGGTGACCAACATGGCATTTCTCATGCTAAGTACTAAATGAAAGTCAGCTGTTGTTTCATTAGAGATTTGAATTCCCTATTACCACCTAACTTGCAGGAGTGAATCCCCTAGGTCTTTGATAGTCTGTCTTATAATCAAAGAAATCCTACAAAAAATGCAAAGTTACCCGATTCAATTAGGGCCATGCATTAATTAAAACCCTAAATCTCCAAGAAAACATCGAAACCCTCTGTCAACCATCACAACTACTACTTAATCTCAAGATTCTCAACAACTACTTACTGTCAACCAGTATTTCATCACATCACACCAAAAGAAATGGTAAAACAAAACAAAATTTGCCCTTTGGGATAGATCACAAAGAAGAGTCGAGCAGGTATTGATTGGGAGCAAATAACTTGACAATATCATATGCTCCCTCCCTCTAATCGCTAGCTTTTAGAAGTGAAGTTTACCATGGGTGTTGTTACACAAAAAATATAATATATAAAGAAACTCAAGCAAAGAATGGCATGTGTTTGGGCGCTCAGCTGATGTGGCCAGCAGGCAACACATCATCCGACAACCTGTCTGACCTACTTGAGATCTGGGAAAACATATGACGAGCTCGGACCGCAAAGCTCTCCAAAAGACAATCCACCTGTAACCTTTTTCTATCACACCTAGTGAAGCTCGGCTCACATGCCAATCTGCCCCCTATTGTTGGTTCAGCGAAGGGCCCTAGGCCATGAGTTTGACAAGCCAGCTACCATTTTTGCCAAACACAATTTGACTCCTTAACTAGGTTAGTGGATGTTAACCTGCTTAAGAAGGAGTTCCCAAACAAACCATATGTCCATAAAAAATTAATGCATCACACCAGCAGTAAAGAAGTTTTCCGAACCATGCATAAACTAAAACCGCAAACCCCCATTAAAAAGATCGAAGCCCTCTTGAAGCTATTCAAATAGCTACTTCATTTCAAGCAGCATTTCACCAAAAAGAAAACCTATTTGGATAGATCAAAGCGCTTTGAATTATTCATTGTTTATGGGGAGTTCATTTCTATCATCAGAGATAGCATTCCTTATTTTTGCCCAAAAAACGAAAACATTTTAGGATAGATCAAAGCGCTTTGAATTATTCACTATTTATGGGAAGTTCATCTCTATCATCAGCAATAACATTCCTTATTTTTGCCCAAAAAACCCTAGTCCACCATATTAATCACAACTCAATTTCCACCATATTAATCACAACTCAATTTCAAGCAGCACCTCATCATCATCAACTATGTAGAAGTTTTCCTATTAAATTGAAATCATGCATAAACTAAACCCCTGAACCCCCATTGAAAAATCGAACTCCTCAAAACCAACCCAGCACCTATCAATTTCAAGCAGCATTTCACACGATCAAACCAAAAAGGGTAAGAAAGACCAGAAAAGTTACCCTTTTGGAGGGATCACGAAGAAGAACCGCTTCGATCTTGATCTTAGCGAGCTCAGGGTTTTCTCCAAAAGAGGACCTGAAGTCAGCTAGGGTTTGGTCGATGTCGGATCGGGAGATGGCGTATCCTCGGTCCCAGAGCATCTCGAGGACGGTGCGGCGAGCGAGGTAG